GTCCGCTCGGGAGTAGAGGAAGTCATCAGCGTGACCATTTTTAACTCCCCACGGAAAGTCATGGTCCAGGCTCAGCTGGTGGCCCAGGGCGAAGCGGTGGCACGGAACCAGGGAGCCATCTTGGGTAGGTCCCCGGGGTGCCTGACTGGGTCTTCCTCTCTCTTTGCGCAGTGGAGCCATTTGCTGGCCTTCAGGGCTCAGGCGGGGCGGACACTGCTTTGCTTCCTCCCACCCCACTTCCCCAGAACCTCGGCAGGAGGGAGAGCAGGCTGAGTTCCCCCATTTCTCAGATGGAGAGAGTAAGGCCCAGGAAGGGCAGCCACTTGCCCAGTCTGGGAAATCAGAGTGCTTTATTCCTGGGCAGCCCAGGTTCCACAGCGCAGATCTGGACGGTGTCAGGTCCGTTCCGTGTCAGCTTTGGCCAGAGGTGGGACCAGGGCTGGAAGGAATCTTGTGACCCTATCAGAACTTTCTTTGAGCTCTCTGTGATGTTAAAATCTGGGCTCGGCTCACAGCCTGCTTGTTGCTGAGTGGAGCTCACACTTTCAGCGCAGAGCGTGACAGCTACAGGAGACAGAGATGATGTTGGGGCTCCAGTGGGACAGTACCTGTCCCTTGACAGGTACTTGGGGAGGCTGACCTGGTGTGGAAACTAGAAGGGCTTGAGTGGGCAGGGGGAATGCAAGCAGTTCCCACTCCGGCCAACCTTGAAGTCCAACTCAGGTTGGCTTCAGCAACAGAGAGTATAGGAGCTCTCATAACTAGAAAAGTCTGTTATTGGCCAACTCCTGGCCCAGCTTCTGGATGGGCCTGTGTCTCTCAAAGCTCAGAGGGAGTGAGGGGGTTCCCAGGACCTTTGGGGTAAGTCCCAGGATTCCCTCTGATTGGCCCAGCTTGGGCCATGTGCTCAACCCTAACCCAAATCCTGTGGCCAAGGAGAAGGCCTATGCTGATTGGCCCATGTTGGGTCATATGCTCAACCCCAAACCAATCCCTGTGACCAGGGGAAAGGCCTATGCTGATTGGCCCATGTTGGGTCATGTGCTCAACCCCGAACCAATCCCTGTGACCAAGAGGAAAGCCTATGTTGATTTGCACAAAGGCCCACTAAACCACATAGACTGGGAGCTGGGCAAGTGGTTCCCTCAAGGAAATTGGGGTTTGGCTAGCAGGGGACGGGGAAATTGATTCTGTGAGGCAGAAACAGTAGATATCTAATCAAGTCTTGGAGGCCAGAAAGCCCGGAGAGGTGTTGGAACAGCAAATAACTCCATTTGGATAGAAGAGAGAGGTGATGGGAGACAAGTCAGATCCACTGGAGTGAGGTCCACTGGGGACCTCGGTCTTCTCTTCTTTCTCTCCACACTTCTACTGTTCCTCTTCCCTGGAGTTTTCTCTTTGCTCTCCTCACAGCTTACCTTGGGCAGGGGCCAGGGGTGAAGTGAATCAAGTATGTAGGCTGGCCAACTTTCCCCTGAATAGCTCAGCTTTGTCCATCCCCTCTGCCCTTCAGCTCTCGCCAGTTTGGAGGGAACCTCTCATTTTTGCCAACCCAAGCTCAGCCTAGGCCAGACCAGCATGACCCAGGGTGTATGTTTGTCCAGAGAAAATCCCTCTGGGTTGAGAAAGCCCTTGTTCGTAGGGCCACAGCCCAGGGGGTGGGGGTGTGTGGGGGGAAACACAGCTCCTGATTTAACCATTTTCATTTTATTTTCATGTTTTAGATAAAGGGACAATCAAACTCAAGGTAAGCCATGAATTTTTAAAATCATGAATCCTTCCTTGGAAATAAAGAATTTAATTGGAATGGAGCAAGAGACATTGCATGTGTTTCGAGAAAAGTCATTAACAGTAATATAAAAGGGAATAATGTAGAAAAAAATTTAGAAAAGGAGAAAAGGTTTGAAATCCAAGGACTTCATACTTTTCACTTTTTCATGTTTCCTGCAAATCCTTGTTCACATGAAGACATTTTCTTTCATAGTTACAATTAAAGGGTATACACTGTGGTGTTTCCTGCTGTGTTCTCTAGACACATTGCATAAACATACTTCCATGGTTCCAAGTCTTTATAACTATAATTTGCATTCTGTAGTTAACAGCCTCCTATTACAGTCGACCCTTGAACAATATGGCGGTTACCATTGCCATCCGCCGCCCCTCTACGGTGCAGTTGAAAATCTGCACATAACTTTTGACTTCCCCAAAACTTAACTACCATTGGCCCTGGGTATCCATAGAGAGTCAGTTTCAGGACCCCCTGCAGATACTAAAATCCACGGATGCTCAAGTGCCTTATGTAAAGTGGTATAGAACAATGCATAGTCTGCCCTCTGCATCCATGGACTCCCAACCGCAGATCAAAAGTTCTGTTTCCGCCAGCGGTCGGTCGAATCGGCAGATGCGAAACCCACAGGGCTGACTGTACTTACTGACAAAAGTCCGCAGTTCAAGCCCATGATGTTCAAGGGTCAACTGTACTAATTTATTAACCTCTCACCTTGTTCGTGGTTAGATTTTTAAAATTGTTTTCAGGGTTTTAATAAGGTAATCTGAATTTGCAAGCGTCTTTGTGTATAAAGTGACTTGCATTCTGGATGCCTGCCTTAGGTTAATTACCAGGTCGAGATCCAAGCCTCTTGCTCAGTCCTGTTTTGTCTTAGAAGACACAGCAGCGCCCGTGCACAGCACCACCTGCCATACATTAGAGTCCAAATTTCCTGCAGCCTCACTGGCATCTAATACTGTTATTTTAAAATTATTTTACATAATAAACCACACCATAGGTGATTCTCTGATGTGGGTTTTTAAACTGAAGTCCTTGGATTTCAAGGGGTTTGTAAGCCCTGAAATTGTAAGCGTTTACTGGGTCAGCTAGCCCTTAACTTTTACCAGATGCTCAAAGGAGTCCCAGAATGAGTGGACTAAATCAAGAATCATCCTGAATTAGAATGTGCCTTTCCCAGTGGTCAGAATGAAGTCTGAGGTGGTCTCTCTTCCAGCAGGAAGTGCCATTAGTGCTTAGGTGCTGTGGCACGGAGGTCAGTGGGAGAATCCTTTCTCTAAGGCAGCAGTTCACCCCTGGGAGGGATGTTTATTCCCTGCCCCCCATGACCTTTGGCTATGTCTACACACATTTATGGTTGTCACACTTGGGATGAGGGGG